ATAATGTATAATGTTATGAACTTAGTGCTACTTAGGATAGATGAATGTAGTTACATGTTACAATACTAAGTCATTCTAGAAAGAAAAGAAGGTTAATTTAGGTTTATTTTGACTTTTTTTGGTGGTTACGAGGTTGGTCGAATTGGCCGATCCCGTTTTGAGACAGGTTAGAGAAAATAACAGATAAACTATAAAGTTTTACTGAAAAAAATATTTGAAAGGTTTTAGGGATTACACAAAGGAAATTTGAGATTTTTGAAATGAGGAAAAGTTTTTTTAATTTTAACATGAAAATTACTTTACACACAGACTATTCAAAACAAATACTCAATATATTCATAGACAATTCTTTATTTTATTTTATTAAAAACACTTCACTAAGGAATATGATTTCTTGTGTGTGAAAGATTTGTAATATTAACTGAAAGGCTGCCAAATTTCGTGAAAATATACCCAATATATAGAGAGTTATAAGTATTAAATTTATATCAACTTTCAACGAGTACAAAAGGTCACATGACTCAATCAAATTGACCGACCCCGTGTTGAGAGAGATAAACTGTGCTGCTCGGTTGGACTCTTTCTCGAGAGGGATCATACAATCAATGAGGAACTCTCCAAGTCAACCACCCCAGCAGCAAGGAACTCGAAATGACAAGGGTATTCCTTGCTCACCTTGATGACTAGATGGAGAAATTCACATCAGTGAGACACAGGAGGGGTGCCTGGACCCAATCAGACCTAACTACCACAAAGGTCTTTCATTGGAGAAAGTACAATACGTAACTGTTGCTGGATTTTTCCATGTTAGTCCATGGAAGATATGGTCTGGAATGGGCAATGAATACACCACCTCAGAAAACTACATCTCAAAAGTAGGTATTTTTTATTCACATTATACCACTTAGTATAGCATAAAATTATAGGTAATAATCCATACTTTAATAGTATATAAGTTTTAATGCAATATTAAAAAGAATCCTGAATTTCCTCTAGTGTGAGAAATGTGACATTTTTTCTTTAGACATCCACTCTTCTCTAATTTATTTATCACCCTTCCAAGAAGTATGGAATTTAACATAAATTGCTCATTATAATGTTGTCATCGTTCAAGAAAACCATAATTTTCATAGCCTTCACATTTGTTTGTTTATACAGCCATCAAATAAAAAATCAGACCCCTCTTGCCACACCCAGCTGTCACATCATCTCTTTTAGGATTTGTCAATATTTCTCTATGTTTAGTACTATATTATTTATTACTAATAGAAAGCCAAAATGTTCATCTATTAAATGACATATTATATTACATTGTTATCTTTACAAATAATTGTCAATTTCACTTTCAGTACAATCTTCATTTCCATGGGAAACACATTGACAAGCTTGGATGATTTTGTAACAGCTCTTGTCTCATAGTTAGAAATCCAGAAAAATTGTGATAGTTATGAGACATTGCCTGCTTTTTGCATTTTATTATTCTATGTTCTGTGGTACATTATTTAATTAAATAAACATTATTTAGTGCACTACTACCATCAGTATAAAAAAAGTAGGGTTAAGTGTCACTGAGAATCGACAGCCAGAAAAAAGAAGATTAGGTAAGCACATTATTTCTTGTTTTTCATGTTTATTCTTTATTTATTATTATAAAAACAACTACAATGTAAAAATAGGGATCTCGTTAGGTTAGTTAAGGTTATATAAGGTAAAATAAACAACAATAATAATATAATAAAGATATTTCATGAGATATGCAGGAGAGAAGCTTGGAGTAGCTTGTGGGTAATGTAATTCAATAGCATAATGTGAGCTGAACATGCCCCAAGTGATTTACAACTTTTAAAGGCACAAGTTGTAGTTAGACATGGTTCAAATGGCAATAAAACAACAAAATTTAAATGTAAATAGATGTATATTGTTATGAGTTTAAAACTACTTAGG